CCATGACAAATAAATGAAATTAGACCCCTACCTCATTCCATACATAAAAATTAACTCAAAGTGGATTAATGACCTAAATATAAGTGCTTAAACTATAAAACTCTTAAAAGAAACCACTGAGTAAAACTTCATGACCTTTGATTTGGCAACAGATTCTTAGTGTTGACACCAAAAGCATAAGCAACAAAAGACAACACAGATAAGTTGGACTTCATCAAAATTAAACACTTTTGTGAATCAAAGGACATTACCAAGACTGTGAAAAGACAACCTACGGAATGTGAGAAAATATTTGTAAACCATGTATTTGATAATGATCTAGTATCTAAAATATACAAAGACCTCTTATGACTCAGCAACAAAAAGGCAACAATAGAATTTAAAACTGGGCAAAGGACTTGCATAGACACTTCTCCCAAGAAGATATTCAAATGACCAATAAGCACATTAAAAAACATTCAACATCATGGCCATTAAGGAAATGTACAACAAAACCACAATGAGCTACTACTTCATACTCATTAGGAAGGCTTTAATTTAAAAAAAAAAAAAAAGTGTTGGCAAAGATGTAGAGAAACAGGAACCCTTGTATACTGCTGGTGGGAACATAAAGAGGTTCAGGTACTGTGTAAAACAGCTTAGCGATTCTTGAAAAAAATTAAGCATACACTTCATACCTGTTGGCCAAAATCAGGAACACTGACACCACCAAACCAGAATGGCCAAACAGGAACACTGACACCACCAAATGCTGACAAGGATGTGGAACAACAAGAACTCTGACTCATTGCTGGGAGGAATGCGAATTGGTCCAACCACTTTGAAGGGCAGTTTGGAGGTTTCTTACAAAACTAAACATACTCTTACTATACGACCCACCAATCGCACTGCTTGGTATTTACCCAAAGGAGTTGAAAACTATCTCCACACAAAACTCTGCACGTGGATATTTATACCAGCTTTATTCATAACTGCCAAAACTTGGAAGTAACTAGTAGATGAACAGATAAATAAACTGATCCTTCCCAAGATGAAATATTATTCGCTGCTAAAAAGCAATGAGCTATCAAACCATGAAAAGACATGGAGGAACGTTAAATGCATATTACTAAGTGAAAGAAGCCAATTTGAAAAGTCTACCTATTCTATGATTCCAATTATATGACATTCTGGAATAGCAAAACTATGGAGACAGTAAAATGATCAATGGCTGCCAGGGGTGGAATTGGAGAAATGAACAGGCAGAACACAGAGGATTTTTAGGGCAGTGAAAATACTCTGTATGACACTATAATGATGGATACATGTTATTATAAATTTGTTCAAATCCATAGAATATACACCATGAATATACAACACCTAAGGCAAACTATGGACTTTAGGTGATTATGATGTGTCAACATAGGTTCATCAATGTAGGTACACACTGTGTACCACTCTGGTGGAGGATGCTAATAATAGAGGAGGTTATACATGTATAGAGGCAGGGGTATATGGGAAATTTCTGTACCTTCCTCTCAATATTGCTGTGAACCTAAAAAATAGTCTTTAAATTACAGCTAAACGAGAAATGAAAACATATGTCTAGTATAGCATATACAATATACAATATTTTGACTATATACAATATTTTATTGTATTGTATACCTGAAAGCTGCTGAGAGTAAATCTGAAAAGTTCTCATCACAAGAAATTGTATTGTATATCTGAAAGCTGCTGAGAGTAAATGTGAAAAGTTCTCATCACAAGAAAAAAAGAAATTCTGTAACTATGTATGTGGATGGACTAATTGTAGTGATCATTCCACAATACACACAAATATCAAAATCATTACATTGTACACCTGAAACTAATACAATGTCAATCATACCTCAATAAAAACAGAAAATAGGTCTACACAAAAACCTGTACATGTTTATAAACATTTCATTGTTATTTTCTTTAGAAACATAATGTTATATTACCATCATTCATAAAAGTCAAAAGGTGAAAACAACCCAAATGTCCATCAATGGATAAATGGATAAAAAATTTGTGATAGATACAATGGCATATTACTCAGCCATAAAAAAGAATGAGGTACTGAACTATTAAAACATGCTGCAATGTGGATAAACTCCAAAAACGTATGCTAAGTGAAAGAAGCCAGACACAAAGTCACACATTATATGATTCCATTATATAAAATATTCAGAATAGGTAAATCCATAGAAAGGTAATACATATTAATGTTTACTAGGAAAAGAAGGGAGTGGGAAATGGGAAGCAATTATTTCACAGGTATATAGGGTTTTCTTTTTGGGGTGATGAAAATGTTTCGGAATTAGATAGGTGGTGATTGCACAACATTGTGAACACACAACTCTACTGAACTGTCCACTTTAAAATGGTTAATTTTATGTAATGTGAATTCATCTCCACTTAAAAAAGATGAAAGGAAAAAAAAAATTTAACACAAAATTTAGTCTTTACTCTTTTTTATAACAGTTCTATTGAAATACACATCCTATGTCATATAATTCACCCATTAAAGTGTACAATTCAATTGTCTTTAGTGTAGTCACAGAGCTGTGCAATCATCACAATTTTAGAACATTTTTATCACACAGCCCCCTCCAAAATGGTACCCATTAGCACTCTCCGTTTCCTCCTCTCCTACAGCTCTAGTCAACTACTAATCTACTTTCTGTCTCTAGAAATTTCCCTATTCTGTACATTTCACAGAAATGAAACCATATGTTAAGCGGTCTTTTGTGACTGGCTTCTTCCACTCAACATGTTTTCAGGGAATCTCCTTTATTTTAACTATAAAATTTGTGCTATATATTCAAATGTAAGAAAAAAAGTCAGGAGAACTTTAAAGGACAACTTATGTAAAGAACTACTGAATACAATGGCAGATCAAGAATCGAAAACAGAAATCCAGTTAAGATGAATCCATAAAATATAAATCAACAGATTTGAAACAAGACCATTATAAATAAGCAAAATAGAATAAAACAAATATATTAGAGAAAGATTTTACAAAACAAATTGCTTGTCAAAGAGAACATTTTCCTTAATGAAGGTGTAGGAAAAGCAATCACAAGGTCTAATTAAAATGAGAAACAGAAAGAGCAAAAAACCATTGCCTTTGTCTACAAGAACTCCTCTAGCATTTCTTGAAATGTGGTCCCTGGACTACCTGCATCAAAATCATCTAAGAACTTGTTTAAAAAGCAACATTTCTGGTCTGTGCCCCAGACAATCACCAAAGATGGGTCCCTGCAAACTATTTTTAAAAAGTACTCCAGATGACTCTCATGAATACTAAAGTTTGAGAACTACTATCTAATTAACACAAATTAACGCAAATGATTAAATGTATGCAAGAGCCAAGAGAATAGTGACAAGAACAAAATGCATGAAAAAGGTGAAAAAAGCAAAGAAAAAAAATAATTTAAATTTTGGCACACTGTGTTCTTGGGAAAACATAAAATGTTTGAAAATATTTGTGGATACGATGTTGGCAGAAAATTCTAAGTGTGTAAATATACAAGCCATTCTTACTATTACCTGTGAAAACCGCTCAAGGTATGACACAGAAAGCATTCATCAATGTAAGGTCACATGGTAGAGAAAGTACATAGTAGATGCACGAATGTTTGTTGACAATGTTAACTATTTTTATAACAAGTAGAGTTATGTTTAATTATCTCCATCCCAAACTCTGATAACCTGGACAAAAAAACAAACTTTTTGCTGTGGTAACCTTTACATGAACAATAGCATAAATCGTCAAATATTACATCAAATTATGACATGCAAGTTCAGGATCCAGACATTTACTTTCAGATCAAGTTAATATCTATTTTTATGGCCAAACTTATGTAAACAAGGGCAGGCAAAACTAGAGTTAAATTTCTCAAGACTACGAGTATTGTGTGATAGAACTATTTCCCTGAAAATCACTAAAATATGTATACATGGATAGCCTTTATTATTCTAACTGTAAGCAGATTCCTAAAATTATTAAGTTCTAACTCATTATTTTACTTCAGTGAGGAAAGTCCACTTTCACAGGGATAATGGCAGTTTATGTCATGTAACTCTTAAAGGATCTCACTATCAGAATGCAAAATCTGTCCTTTTTTTCCATAAAAGTCATCTCTCCCCTATACACCCCTAAACCCAATTATAGTGTTAAGTTCTAAAGTCTATTTTGACTCATCTAGATCAAACCTTATAATGCATTTAGAAACCCAAATATATTCCATCTAACCCTAAGACGCAGATGTTTCAACATTCCCAGACATTATTCTTGCACATCTTATAAATGAAACAAACCATATTAGGAGAATGAAGTAGCTAATGCATGCAAATAAATTACATGGGAAAGTTATGTTGCTTTCCAAGGACATTTTTATTTATTATCAACATTTGGCTTGATACATGAAGTTCTAGAAGCATCTAAAAGTTCTCTGATGCTTTTTCATTTCATAGCTGTTTCAAAAGTCAGAAACCCTAGAATTAGATAAAGCCTTAAAGCAGGCTAACATACAAGATATGTGAACTTCACCAAGTTCTCACATTTTCTTCCAAAAAGTAGTCAACCAATATTCACCATTACCACCTAGCTCCCAACTCTCTGGACATCCTTCGGATGCTCAATGTGGCCTCTTCACACAAGTTCAGTCAGTCCAACCTATCCACACATACACACACACCATCAGTCTACAAGTCTCCCACACAGGCACAACTGCCTCTCAACATTCATCTGGTTACTAATCAAAGGTCATTCTTTTCTTCCACTGACCCTGCAGACATGACACTGACTATAATCCCTTGTTCCCTTTCTCCCACAATACTCACTACTCAAAACAACAAAAGAAACAAGTCCTTTTTCCTAACTGCAGACAGCTTCTTTAACTCTATACACTCCTTCCCCCCAACAACCACCCCTATTCTCTGTCCTGCCTTTGTTATTCAGAAGTTACAAGGTCTAAGAAAATCTCACTCACCTCATGCTATAGGCACCAGCACCCAGTTCCTGGCCGATCCCCGACAGACTAGCATCAAAGTCCTGCACCAGCCCAGATTCAATCACTTCATCCGCCAGAGGCAACTTCAGAGCCCAGGCCATCCTGGCTCCTTCCTTGCCCCAGGAGACACCGTTTCTTGTATAAAGGTGAGTAGTGTGATTCTACCCAACGAGGGCAAGACTGCAGAAACCTCTAAACCAAGATCTCCCACGCAGTACCCACGAGCCACCCCAAGCCCGACATGTACTGCCCGCAAACCTAATCTCCCGTACCCCTGGCTCCTTGTTCTGGGCTGCCCTGACTTCCAAAATCTCTCCTACGCAGCTCCCTGGAGCCGCGCGAGGGCCCTTTTGCTCAAATTATTCCAGACTGCCCAGAGGCAGCCCTAGACTCCCACACTCCTATACTGCCCGCAAACCTAATCTCCCGTACCCCTGGCTCCTTGTTCTGGGCTGCCCTGACTTCCAAAATCTCTCCTACGCAGCTCCCTGGAGCCGCGCGAGGGCCCTTTTGCTCAATTATTCCAGACTGCCCAGAGGCAGCCCTAGACTCCCACACTCCTACTCTCTGGGCTCTCCCCTTCTGCTTGTGGTGGTCACTCGCTGCTTCCCAAACAGACCAGCAGCAGCGACCCGCTGCCTACCCCGCGCTCCCACACCGCTTTCGCACCTTTCCCCCCGCCCCCTCTGCAGGGAGCCCCTCCCCCCCGGCACCCGCTCCCTTTCCCCTCCAGGCCTCGCTTCCGGTCGGCCCCCAAAACACTTCCGGTCAACCCACGGCTCTTAGAACTAAACCCAAGTTTCCTCCCAGCTCACTCCCTGCCCTCCGCAGCCTGCCACGGCCTCGATATATGGAAGGAGAAAATTCAGCACGGACTTGAAACCTGGACTCGCCAGGCTCCTCCACCGCCAGCCGCCCCAGCGCCAACCAATCATGGCGCCCTCTCCCTTTGCCGGTCCGGCGAACGTGACGTCACCTGGTTACTCACCAATGAAAAAGAGACTTCGTCGGCCTCGGCGGTGATGATAGGCTAGCTACGCTCCACCGCTCCCCGCCCCGAAGATGGGCTGGGCGATCCGGGAGACAACCTGGCGTGCCTAAGGTGTCTCGGTTTAAACGTCCCTCCGTGTGGCTACCTGCGTTCTGGCACCTAGCAAGCACCAAGTCGGCACCCTGAGGCGTGGATGGAGCCTTCGCTCTAGTCTCACGGAACACACACCCAACCCTGGAGGACTCCTGACCGTTTCTCAAATGCTCCGTACGTGCGTTTGTTTGCTCCTGGAATACTTTCCTTAAACGTACCTCTCTGGAGGTCAAGATTCTGCTGAAGTGCCACTTCTTTCTGTAGTCATCTTCTTCATTCTTCCTAATGCATTTGAACATGAAAGCATAAGACAGGTGAAAGTGTTGTGGTTTTTAAAAGATGGAGGTCTAAAGATCAGGATTTGGGCTGGCGTCTTCACTTTCTAGTTGGGTGACTTCAGCATAATTGCTTAATCTCACTGATATTTAGCTTCCTCATTTGAAGTGTGGGGCCGACCATATCTGCTCCACCTTCCTACTTTGAGGATTAAATAATAATGTCCGTTGTTTATTGAGCATTAGCTATATACCAGGAACTTTAGTACATTATCAGTAATCTTTAAGACAATCTTGAACTAGAATTACAATTTTAAAGGTAAGTATCTTACCAATAAGGAGAGGAGGCTAAGGGCTTAAATTGGCCAGAGCTAAATTAGCATGCCAACTTCGGAGCCTGACATTTTCACTACAAGACATTGCCTGTATGTGAAAGTATTGGTTCATTTTTCTATTACATTATTGAGTTTTTTACAGTCTGCCTTGAATTAAAATATTGTATGTATCTGCCTTTTTCACTATACTGTGATTGCCTAAAGAATAAAGAATAAGTCTTTTTCAGGCTTATGTTCTACATATTTCCTAGTATAGTTCCTGCATTCAATAGGACATATATGTTTATTGAATTTTAAAAAGGAAAGAAAGAGAAAAAAGGTTGACATGAAGTTGACAGCATACACCCAGTTTCAGCCACAGGCTTCTCTTTTGAAGGCTCTAGGCTTACTCCTCTTCTTACCTTAGAAAGCCCTGGCGTCCAAGTCTTGGTGCATTCCTGTGACATTCAGTATTTCTTCAAGCCATATTTTCTTCCTCTGAGCCAGTTTTATCTCAAAACATGTGTCTGTGGGTAAAGTACCTGGGCTCAGAGACTAAAAGAGAGATGTCATAATTGTGAAAGAAAAAGGGGCCACATTCTAAATCGGACGAGCTCAGGGGAGGCCAGCATGGTGAGCTCTACAAACTCAGAGCCCAAACGTAACCACATAGGATGGTCTGAACATAAAAATTTCTAACTAAAAAGTCGTGGTGGGTAGTCACATCCTGGGCTTGTAGCTTTCTTGACAAAGGTCAATCTTTACCCTAAGCAAGCCTCTTATTGTCCTTTTGCCCGTAAGATAACATACCCTTGGAATGTCAGAGTACCCCTTTTTTCCAAACCCCTCAGGCACCAGCACGCGACCACAGAACCCCTTATGGTTATCTTGTCCCCCACATACCATCTCTATGTTGTAAATGTTAGTTATGAACTCCGGTACCCACCAATGTAAAATAAATGTGTGTTCTTCCATTTTACTTTTTATCCAATCTCACAGATTTCCTCACTCTGCTTTCTCCTCCTCCCTTAATCTACCACCAATGAACCCTCCCTACGTCTCTTCCTTCGATTCTACCATATAAAATAAGCTGCAAAACTACCAATCTCCAGAACATTTTCTTAATGCTTCCCAGCAATTGTCATCAGTTTGGCTCAAATAAACTCATTAAAATTCCCTACAGGTTTGGACATTTCTTACGTCGACATAATCAAAATCCTTTGTATTCAAGCATTGTATCTGGGGTATTTAAAACATCTATTAGGTAGAACCATGCCTTGTTTGAACAACAGCTCATCACTAGATGCATATTCCTAGGCAAGTAACTACATCTATGAGCCTCAATATTTTAATCTATGAATTAGTGGAAATAATACCTCCTCCTTAAATTGTTGTGAGGATTAAATAAAGTGCCAAGATGCCACATAAATAATAATTAGTCAATAAATGTTAACTCCAGTCTCCACTAGCCCATTTCTGCTTCTCTGTTAAGATTGGGTTGTGATTATCCTATCTAAAAATATTAACATATTGTATGGTATGTTATGGTTTTAGTAGTATTTTAACATACATTGTCTTAGTTAATCCTCATAAACGTTTTTGTTTTGTTTTTTAATATGAAGAAACTGAGACTAAGAGAGGGCAGATCGATCAAGCAGACTACCTCTTTAGGAATTATCCTGAAAATTATTCTGTGATTCAGCAGCTTCACTCTACATATATACCCTAGAGAACTCTTGCACAAACATACCAGGAGACTTGTATGAAATGTTCATGTAAGCATTATTTATAGCAGCAAAACAGAACAAAACAAATGTCCACCAACATGAGAAAGGATAAACTGGAGTACAAGAAAATATTATACAGCAGTGAAAAATGAATAAAGCTACACTCAAACACATGACTAAATCAATCTTAGAATTACGAGGGGGAATTGCAGAAGTCTTCGTATAGTGTGGCATCACTTTATAAAGATCAAAACCCAGCAAAATTAAGCAATACATCATTTAGGGAAATATACACACATTTCTTTTAAAAAGAATAAAAAGATAAACACAACCCTAGATGATCACATTAAGGAAAGACAGGGGAGTGGGCTAAGGGAGGAACTCAAAAGTAGCTTGAACAGTGGTAATAGTTTACTTAAGTTGAATGGTAGGTCCATGGGTGATTGTTTCATCATTGTGCTTCATAACTTAACAAAAATATATATTATTGAATATGTAACAAATATTACATAAATGAGCAGCCAAGCCAGGAACTATAGTCCAGGTCCTCAATTCTCTTAGCTGGGCTTTGTCTATGGCGATCCCTCCCTGCTGGTAGTACAAGTTCCTAGGAACCACACAGATACAGAGCAAATAATAATGACAGTCTCATATTTACTGAGCCAAGCCCTAACTGGGTGCTTTATGTATATAATCTCATTTCATTCTCACATCACCCTAGATTAATTTCATAGATAAGGAAACTGAGACTTAGAAAAATTAATTAACTTGTCCAAGTTCACCCAGCTAGACAATGGTAAAGTCTGACTGACTGACCTTGCACTCTGCGCATCTAACCATCATACCACCCTGTCCCTGTGGATGGTTATAACCTAAAATTGATCTGCTTCCTATCTATTCTTTTCAGAGGTGAATTTGAACCTTGTAGAGATGAGAATATTGAATTTTCAGAAAATTGTGCCCATGAAGGAATATTGGTTGAAGCGTGTTTCCTCACATGCAGAAAAATAGCTCAAAGAGAATAGATTTAAACTAAAACAATATTGAAATTAGATGTTTAGAAGAGATAACTGTGCCATATCCAGGAATATCAAGGAGCCCTGTCCTCTGGGAAATGTTTAGAAAAAGACAGACTTGTATTTCTTGGAAATGTTTGAGCCTGTGTTTAAATTCTGAAACAAAATAAAAACTTCACAAAGGTTTTCCATACCTTAATTCTAATTAATTCTGAAATAAACAGGTGAAATGAAAAGTGACTCCAAAGCCTTGGCCCCACTCAATTAGAATGCAGATCAACCTTGAGATTTATGTCCTTAAGCCCTGAGGAAATTCTATGACTGGGAGGAGAAGACTTTTTCCTTCCTCTCCCTTCTTCAATGTAACAGAGTAATTTAGAGTGCTAAAGCTGGAATCAGGGATACCAGGGCCAGCCCTGGGTGCTCTGCCTCCAAGAAAAGATCACCAGTGTTTCCCTGAGAATCCAGCAACACCTATCAATAAACCAAATTTTTGTACCCATAAATTCATCCCATGACAAAAATCATGGCTCTTGTTAACATAATAAATATGACTAATGAACCAGAGAACCCATGGCACAGAGCTTCACATTCAGTATTCTAGACCAGGGGTCCCCAACCCCCAGGGCCGTGAACAGGTACCTCTCAGTGGCCTGTTAGAAACTGGGCTGCACGGCCGGAGGTGAGCATCAGGCGAGCAAGTGAAGCTTCATCTGTATTTGCAGCCACTCCCCAGCGCTAGCATCACCACCTCAGCTCAACCTCAGATCACCAGGCATTAGATTCTCATAGGAGCACTGGTCCCTAGTGGCAAAAAGGTTAGGGAGCGCTGTTCTAGACCATTAGGTGAAGTTGAGCCTCATTGCGAAGGGTGCTTTCCCCTAGATTAGGTCCCGAAACTATACTGTTTAAATGGAACATAGCAAGGTTTACCCTGGTAGGTGGAAATGTGGAAATCCTACCAAAAAGATCAGGAAAGATAGCAGTCCCTTGATCTCACCGTGTATGGGGTAAGGTTAAGCGCACAGGCACTTGAGACAGCCCACCCGGGTTCAAAATCTAGTTCTGCTGCTCACAAGCAAAGCAATCCTAAGTAGATTCCTCATCTTTTCTATGCCTCAATTCCTTATCTGTAAAATGAGTATAATAATAGTTCTTAGTTTATAAAATTATGCTAAGAAGTGAAATAATGCATGTTGAGTGCTTAGACTAGTGCCTAATATATAGTCAGTGATCAGTGAGCATTAGGTATTATGATCGACAAAAAGGGGGC